GGAATTACAATAGAACCTGGCCTTGGGACACTGGAGTGAATGGTTGTTCAGTTTCCAAGTTATCTGGAATCTACATACTCATTGCAATGGTCCTGTCAGGTACCACCGCTCCTTTTTCCTATTCTACTATCTGTAGGCTTTCACATAGTTTGTGCTCCACCCCCCCACCCCCCCACCGCTTCATGTTTTTTGCACAAGGGACTCTAACAAATTCTTACTTCAAATTTCCAAGAAATAGGATTGTCTCAATGTATCTTTTGTGATAGTCAGAGGTAGATAGCTAGCCTATGGGTTGGTTCCCAAAGTGCACACTCTAGTTCAATCAGTTTTACCTGCCGGGGACCAGCTGGTGGGACTAAAGTATTCTATGCAGCAGTGGCTCTTGATGAAGCAGTTCCCTCAGAAGGATGCGCATGGTAGGTGATTTAATTACAATTGGTAGTAGGTCAGGACTAAAGAAAAATAAACACCATACGTACCCAGGCTCATTTGGGGGTATATTTTAGAAGCATAACAACAAGACTGTAAAGAAAATTCTCTACTCATTCTGTTGTCTGTTCAGATTCTGCCAATTGTATCTGATATTTTCAGAGCTGGGGCAGGGCTCTACATACACACTGTGCTACATAATAGCACATTATGATTTTTATTATTTTTTTTCCTTGAAACAAAGACTTCTCACAATTATTAATCCATCCAGCAGATAGTATCATTGTGATATAAGTGACAAGGCAATCATTCCACATAAAAACTAACAGACTCTTGATTATTTTTTGTTTAATAATCACTGGCAAGCTTATGGATAATTCTTGCAAGTAAACAAGTAAGAGTTCAACTTTGGTTTATTAAAAAGTTTTTAGTTGTATTAAACCTTATTTATATGTACATCATATTCAAATGCCTAGAAATGCTAAGTTTGGGCATATTTAATCATATTGCATTCAAATGTCTAAGAGAGCTATCTTTTGTTTTTTAAAAACATTTCATCAAGCAGTTAATTGTACTGTACTTATTTCAAGAGCTATATTTAGGAAGTACATTTAATTTGAACTACATTTAGAAATGTAACAGATTGTGTGAATTAAGTAATTCGAAGCTAAAACTTATCATAGCTTCCTACCACATAATGATTACAATCACAGCCATCTTGGGCATGCTAAGGCAACAACACATGTCTGTTTTTTGGGCTTCAGTTGTTTCTTTTTACAAAGGTTACTTTGGCACAATAGAATTTGGACAGTTATGGGCAGTTATTCATTGTTATTTCATTTGCAGTATTAATATGCTTTAAAGGATTACCAGATGGTTATTACTCCTATAGGCAATATTAAATTCTTCAAACTCTTAATCATTTTCTAAGTGTGAGTTGGATATTTTTCTGGTAAATTAAGTCTTTTAGACAGCTCTGATGCCATCTATTTAATAAAGTGTTGTAGTGAATATGAACCTTTTTTTCCTGCTTCTGGGATTCTTAGCCAGTTGATAGGTAGGTAGGAGGGATGTCACTATTCCCACTAATTTAAACAATTGGAGTTTCAGTTTACTGTGAATTTTAAGAGATGTAACCTTCCAAGCAGTCTCATACAGTTACAAATACATAAAACTAAATAATTGTTTTAAAATATGGAGATTAAAAATAATCATGGCAAGGGAAATATTAGTAGGAAGTCAAGGACTGAGGAAAAAGAATGGAAATACTTGGTCACAATGGTTTATATAATGGCTAAAAGTGAACTTCAAATTTAGTTCTAGGATTTCTGTCAGCCAAACTGAAGAATGAAAATAGAGTAAATTACAAAGAAGAAATACATTTCACTTCCTCCGTGGAAACAAAGATTTTTGCCTTACGTTAAGTTTTAAAAATATTTTATTGTAAATACAATGTATACAAACAAAAGCACACAAAACAACATATTCAGCTCAATGAATTATCACAAAGTCACAACTAAAACAAGACAACAAAGCCAACACACCAGATCACCCACACCTCCATTCTCTTCTGATCCTTGTCCCTTCTCTCCTCCCCAAAGTAACCATTTTCCTGACTTTCATGGTAATCACTTCCTTGATTGTTCTTTATAATTTTAACAGATAAACTTATATCCCTATATAATACCTTGCCTGTTTACATTTGTGTAAATGGAATTATATAGTATTCTTGGGAAGGAAGAGCCTGGGAGTCTGGCCTCTTTTGATCCACTTTACGAGATTTTCTACATTGTTGCAAGGAGTTGTAATTCTTGTTTTCAGTTGCTGTGCAGCATTTTGTTGAGCAACTATAGCTCAATTATATTTACCCACTGTACTCCTGAAGGGCATTTGGTTGGCTTCCAGTTTGGGGTAGTTTTGAAAATTACTGCTAAAAAACATTTTTCTAACATGTATCTTGATGCACAGTCCATGCATTTCCATTGGTTATATTTCTAGGAGTGGGACTGCTAGACCAAAACCTGTTTTCCAAAGTTGTACCAAATTACTCTCAGCAGCAGTATGCAACTGTTCCCACTGGTTGGGTCCACAGGCTCTGGGTCCTGCACACGCAATCAAGGTGTCGGCTAGTATTGTGGTCTCATCTCTCATTCCTTCCTTGATACCACTATTGTCAGTCTTCTTGATTTTAGCCATTCTGATAGGTGTTGAGGAATATCATGTTAGGGCTCTAATTTTTCCTTTTCCTTATTACAAATGAAGTTGAGCACCTTTATAAAAGTTTGTTCATCAGTGAGATTCTCCCATTGAGGGAGAACACGCTAAAGTATCTGACCTGTTTTTCTTATTGGTGGTCAATCATTTTCTTAGTGATTTATATCACTTATTCATATATTTTATATATGGGCCCTAATTTGGCAAATGGTAAATATCTTCCAATCTGTGCCTTGCCTCCTTTCATTTCCTAATGTTACCTTCGGATAGACCTAAGTTCTCCAGTTATCAATTCATGTAATTAAAATTATACTTATTTTCTTTATATTTGGTGACATTTTTCTTCAATTTAAAAATCATTCCTGTCATTAAGACAATTTATATCATCTCCTAGAACACTAATTATTTTATCTTTTACAATTAAATATACAATCACCTTTCACACGATGTGATTTGGAGTATGGTTTGAGGTAGAGGTTAAGTTTCTTTTTTCCCCCCCAAATGAATATCAAATGGCCCAAGCACTATTTATTATCAAAAAGCCTTCGTCCCACTGCTTAGAAGTGTCATCTTTGTCTTAAATCTAGTGTCCATTTATGTAAAGGTCTGTTTCTGAGCCATCTATCCTGTTTCTTTCATGTTTGTTTCTCCTTTCATAATTGTCACAGTGTCTTAATTACCATAATTTTATAGGTCTTGATACAGGGTACATACCCAACTTTATTAATCTTCAAGAGACCTTCTTGTATTTTTTTTAAGTTTCTTGGTATTTTTGGTGTTTTGCATTTCCATACATTTTAAAACAAACTTGTCATATTACACATTCACACACAACCACACCCACAAACCTACACACATACACCTACTGCAATTTTGAATGGATTTGCATAGTCAATTTGGGAAGAATTGACTGACATAACAGTAACAATATCAAGTCTTGCAACCCATGAATATGGTGTAATCCTCATTCATAGTTGACCTTTGAACAACATGGATTTGAACTGTGCAGGTCCACTTGTACAATTTTTTCTTTTTTTAAAATAAAGACAGCAAAGTACCATCATGTATTTTCCTTATCATTTTCTTAATAACACTTTTTCTATAGCTTACGTTATTGTAATACAGTACATAATACATATACAAAATATGCGTTAATCAGCTTCATGTTATTTGAGGGTTTCTAGTCAACAGCAGGCTACTACTAGTTAAGTTTGGGAGGAATCAAAAGTTAAAGTCAATTTTCAACTATGCAGGGGTCAGCACCCCTAACACTTGTCATACTCAAGGGTCAATTGTAGTTAGGCCATCAATTTCTTTCAAAAATATTTCGTAATTCTCTGTAGGGGTGTTGCAATTTTGGTTAAATTGATTTCTAGTTATTTGAAATTTTGTATGCTATTAGAAATCATACTTCTTTAAAAATCAATGTTATGCTTGTTCTCAATATACTCAGACATAACTGATATTTGAATATCTACTTTGTAGCTGAAATTCCATTAATTTACAAATTTAATTTTTCCTACAGCTTTTGGATTTTTCTAAGCACACGTCACCTATGAAAAATAGCTTAATGCTTTCTTCCTGATAACTTTTATTACTTCATTAAAATTGTAAAACCCACAGCAATCTAAATCTGAGTAATGTGTAATTTCAGTTGTAAATTCAGTAAAGACATGCCAGTAGACTGCATTTCCTATCCAACTCACATGTTCTCACACAACTACTGCAACCAGATCACTATCCCTTAAAATCACTTCCAACCCGGATGAGTCTGAGCAGAGCCCAGCTGGTTTGGAGGCGGGCTGCGGAAGCGCGCGGCCCCGACACCTGATCGCTCCGCCTCTTGCCCGGACGCAGCCAATCAGCGGCCACCTCTTACGGGCGCCCCATCAGCCAAAATGGCGGCGGCCGTTGGCGCCAAGTCCCGTTTGTAGTTCCATTGCTTTACTCCTGTTGCAAAATGTGAAAGGAAGGACGGCTGGCGGAGGGGGGTTATAGGCAATGAGTCGGCGAAGGAAACATGGGGACAGCCCTGGCCTGAAGAACACGCCGCGCAAAGCGGCGGCGGCTGAGGAATGCAGCTCGGTGGTCGAGCCAGGGAAGAGGCGGCTGAGGTCGGCCCGCGGCTCAGGGCTCCGCAGGGCCGGAGAGCGGTCTCCCCAGCCCGTGCCACAACAAGAGCAGCCTCCAGCAGCCGCTTCGTGCAGTAAAAGTAACCCCGAGGGTGAGACGTCGGCAACGCGGCCTCTCCGGGCTTATGCGCTGCAGTCCCGCAGCCCGCTTGCCGTGGAGAAACCTGGGGTGCGGGTGGGGGTTGAGTCTGAAGTGTTTTCTTTCTCTGGGCTGCTCCCCTCGTGAATCCGAAAGGAACTCGACGTCACTACCCCCGAGTTTGAGCTCTGCCCCGTTCGGTTTGACCACTCTCTTGTCTCCGCTGCTACTGGAATTGGGCTTGCGATTTACCAGTTTAAGGAAGGGCGGCTATATCTTGGCTGCTCCTCCAGTCATCAGCAATAGCGGAACGAGGAGAGCCTTCTGATAGACTTCTTGCCTTCAGCTTACCCCAGGGCAATTCTCCCCCTATCCTCCCCCCCACCCCCCAACTTAAAACTTTTTGCCCTGACTTGCTTTAGTGAAGGGATCCTATGAATAGCAGTATCTATCTCTATCCTCAAAGTTTTGGTGATGTTTCACTTCATTATGAATAAACCGGAAGTTCCTGTGTATGCTGTCCCTCAAAGTAGGAAACTAAGGGCCCCCGAATATTCATTCTGGTCAGTTTTTGGTGGTGCATTTTTTTTTTTTTTTAATTTCTGATAAATCCTGGTAGGCACTGCAGTTCACGGAAAAACTCTTTTAACAGTGTGTTCTGAAGAGTCAGCTTTTGTTACCTTGTCTTTAGTTTACTCCCATAAAGCAATTTTGGAAAGCTGCAAAAATCTTTCTTTGTAGAAATTTAAAAGTGAAATTAGAGAAAACTAACCAAGAAATGGGTCGTTAAAGCTTTTTAAAGTAATTACTGTAGGTCAGAGAGAGTTGATGAAAGAGGGCTAACAGTTTTAACGGAAGTTTCTGCTGGGAGCCTTTTGGTTTTTGAACTATATCTATAAATTACAGGTAGTTCCCCAAACCTCTAAGTTCATTGGTAATGAATGGATTATACACTCTAATTATACATTCATAGAGTACTAGTCTGTCTTAAAATACTTGGTATTTACAATGTCAAGTTTGTCAAGTATTACAAGGATTTTTATGTGAAATATTTCAGTTGTGGTTAGAGTAATATCTCTGGGAGGAAATTTTATAATTGGACTATAAAAAGTAATCTAAGGGATATCTGACTTTGGGGTATTATGAAGTAAAGTAATGCTTTGTAATGCAACAATTGTTTTTTAATCTTATTTTACTTAGAAAGGTATGAAACACCAAAGAGAGTGCTGAAAATGGATTTATTGTCATCTACCTTCAGTTCTCCTAATGATCCAGATGGACAGAATGATATCTTTTGGGATCAAAATTCTCCAATGACAAAACAGTTAGGTAATTTATTATTAATTAACGTTTTTATCTAGGTAAATATTTGGTAAATGATTAGGATTTAACTATAGAATTTCAGTTGGGTAGAAGCAGGAACTTTTATACAACAGTTTTTTGAGAATCTTCCATGATTGTTATGATACACTTGTGATGTTGGTGCATAGTGATCTAAGCCATACTAATTAAAATTGTTTTCTAAGAAGTAACTATTTTTAAAAATTAAGTTTTTTTGTTTACAATTTATAGAAATGTCTTTGTTTCTTTAGGTAAAGGAAGAAGAAAACAGATTTACACTACAGATAGTGATGAAATCTCACATATTGTTAATCGTATTGCTCCTCAGGTAAATACTGCTAGTTTTGTAGTTTATTTGAAAACCGTGAAAATTATGCCACTAGGCCCATGTATAGTTCACTTGGATGAAAAATATTTTGTCTTTTACAGTTCTCTCTTCTGAAAATAGAGCAGTAAAGGTTACTTTTACTTTTTCTACTACTGAAATGTAGGTTTTGATAAAAGGGACATAATGTATAATTGGTAATACATATTTTCCTAAGCATGTATCTTTAATTTTTTTAGAGTGATGATTTTTGACTAGAGCTTTGTGTTTATTTTGTTTTTAATGTTCAACAATATGTGACATCATTTTTATTTATTTTAAACTAAAAATTTAAACTTTTAAGTTTGTGTGATTGGTATTTGTTTACTGTCTTTAGCACACTTTTTCCCCATTGAATTGCTCTTCTTAATACTTCTGGATTAGTAAGATCATTGAGCAACACTCATAAATGTGGAAAGAACACTAGATTTGGAGTCAGTTCTCAGTCTACCTCCTTCCTATACTGAGTGACCATAAGCAAATCACTTAAGTTCTCAGAACTTCATTCAGCTATAAATTAGAATTAGTACTTGTCTTGCTCTCCATTGGACTATTAGGAGGATTAAATTAGTTAAAAATTCTTTTTAAACTACAGAGCACTATAAATGTAAGGTTATGTTATAGTTATATATGATAGTTAAATTATTTGTTGTCACAGAATCATCTTCAAAAATTTCTTTCTCTTTATTTCAGTTCCTGTACTGCTTGAATGAAATAGAAATACAAGTTTAGGGGCATCTGGGTGGCTCAGTTGGTTAAGCCTCTGATTCTTAATTTCGGCTCAGGTCATGATCTTGTGTTTATGGGATCAAGCCCCACATGGCGCTCTGTGCTGACTGCACAGAGACTGCTTGGGTTCTCTCTCCCTCTCTCTGCCCCTGCCCTGCTCATACTTTATCTCTCTCAAAGTAAATAAGCTTAAAAAAAAAAAGAAAGAAAAATATAAAGGTTAAGTCAACCTCTGTTCTGACCCTCTTCACTCTCCTCTCTCTTTTTCTTATTTAACAATATTTAAGTCTAGAAAACATACAGTTTTTGATTGATATCTCCCCTGTAGGAAGTATGGGATTTTTCCTTGACATACCCTTGTCAAGGGCTTATTGTTTATGGTAAACAATAGATGGCACTGGGCCCAAACTGTGGTTACAAGGAATCACCATCATCCAGGTGAAAGAGACAGGAAATACAGTTTTCCTTAGTGGCTATAAAACATCCAAAATTACAGTTAGCCAGTCAAAACAACTCTGTTGCTACTAGCTCTACATTCCACGTTTGGCGTGTCATAGAAATTCATTATAAATACGTTCATTAGTTAAATAGCTTTTATGCCATGATACTATTTACTCCATAAGTTAACAATAGATCTTCATTAGTTGTGGGTTTCACATGAAAGAACCATAATAAAATGTGTTTGGGCTGGCCAGTTTAAATTGTGATAAAAAGATAGTTGAGTAAATTACTGGACCCTTTACCTAAGTGGGCTGGAAATAATACCTCACATAAAGAAGTGTCAACAATATGCAAGTTGTAACTCGTGTATAAGAAAAAAATACAGTGCAATTAGTTGCTTTTAAATGTTACTCTTTTCAACTAAGCACTTTTAAAGCCTACAAATGTTTGGTAGTATTAAGGTCTTTTTAAAAGACTGACATTTTCTCATAATGACATATTCATGTTTTTTTTATTTGTAGGTGAGTTACCCCTCAAATACTTATTTAATAAGTCACCTTGATATTTTCAGAGGTGACTTTTTTTAAAAACATGCACTTCCATTTTCAGTGGATAATCATTTCACTTTCTTCAGGGATACTTTTCATATAGTGTTTGTTTGAAGATGTATAGTTTTTCATCATTTTTATATAGCTACATGCTGTATATGCTTTAGGAGTAAATGAAGTAATGTATTCGGATATCTTATATAGCACCTGGATTGTAGCTGGAAACCAATGAACTACGTAATTATTATTAAAGACGTTCTAAAAATATAACAAAATTAATATAAAAACATACATAGAGCCCTTATATATATATATATATAATTGGACATATAAAGCTGTCCTACCTTTATTCTCTAAAAAGTAAATGAATTTTAAAATACTTGGTAAATGGACAGTGTCCATAATTAAATCACTAATAATGTTATTTTCCCTAAAGTCAAGGTGTTGAAACAAAAGTGAAAAATAAACTTACTGATTTACTGGAGTATTTTGTGAAACTAAAATCTACTAGGTTCAACTGGACATCTAAGGAAACTGCTAAACTGCTTGTTGATTAAGGATTCTGAAGTATCAAGTTGTAGAGATTTTTTTATCTAAACCTAGTAAATAAATGTAAACTGATATATTCTTTATGCCTAGCATTTTGTTAGATGTTGAACTTTCATAATCATAAGATCATTCCAAGCCTTCAAGTATCCTATAATCTAGTGATAAGATTATTTTTACCTTGTGTGATATTTATGTTCAGAGTACTATGTTCATTCTAAGTACAACAATAGAGTAGAAACTGGTTAATCTATTTGATTTGTTGGATTGGTTTCTAACGCATAAACTCATTTTCTCATTTTTTGCATGATAAGGTGACTGAAAAGCGTAGCAAAAATATCCAGGATTAAAGTGGCTTTTTCCTATCTTTTATAGTGGTTAAACTTCTTTTTCTCCTTTCTCTACTTATTTTTGTTCCTATCCCTGCCTTATTCTTACCATTAGTTCTAACCTTGCACTTTAAACTTGAGTTAGAGTTAGTTAAGTGTGGTTCTATTGACCTGAATTCAAAGTGTTCCCAATTCAGGTCAACATGGATTGTCCAACTTTAGATAAAGATTATAATGGGGATATGGAGAATAAGGTGATATAAAAAGAATTCCATGTGTATCTCTCTTTATTCTTAAGTCCGTCTCCTTTTGATAACTGCACCTTTACCATTAAATATACATTTGTAAATTAAATTCTTAAAACTAATTTTTTTTGGAAAATAAGGAATTACCAGTTCTAAATATTTTCATTTCCTGAAACATAAATGGATCACTTCTTGCAGCTTGCTTTTGCCATCCTCATTGTTCTGGAACTTGTGTAGTAAGTTATCACCTCACCACAGTTTATTGCTTTAGGAAAATAATTCAGTGTAATTAAAGTTTTTTCTTTTCTTTTTTTTTTTTTTTTTGTGCACATACCTGCTTTCCCTTCTGCCAAAGGATGAAAAACCAACAACAAACTCCATGCTAGGCATGTGGATTGGTGCATCTGCTATTCCTTGTACTCCTAGTGTAGCAAAAGGAAAATCAAGAGCAAAAATCAGCTGCACAAAGTAAGTTCAGACTTTTCAGCTTTTCTAACATTCAGTGGAGTAAATATATTTAATACTCCGTTTTGATTTTGTAAACCTATTAAAATACTTATAAATTACTTTTTAAAATTTTGACATGTAAAATTTTAGCCTTAATAATTGTAACAGTTAAAATTTTGAGTTTTAATATATTAGAAAATATGTTTGATAACAACTGAATACTTATAATGACTCTTAGACGTTTTCTTAGTTATAACTTTTTAAATGTTTAATAGGTTAAGAACACAAACTCAAGAGGAAGAACTTATGAAATTGGCTAAGCAATTTGATAAAAATATGGAAGAGCTAGATGTGATTCAAGAGCAAAAGAAGAGAAATCATGATTTTATCCAGATGATTTCAGAAGCAGAGACTTTAAGTAATTATAAAGATAATGTACAGATGCAGTTATTACATGACATAGTTCCAGAAATAGATAATGCTATAATGAAGAACCCAATGAAAGAAAACACCAAAATGTCTGTGGTAGATGATCAAAATAGTCAGAAGCCATTTGACCAAAATGCTGAAGCAGCTTTTAATGCCATTTTTGATGGCTCTACTCAGAAATGTAGTGGACAGTTCAGCCAAGATCTGTCAGATGCTTTTTTGAACACAAGTAATACTACCTTTGGAAAGAAAGGCGTTTTGAAAGAGGAGAAAATCATTACTAATGAAACTCTGGTCACTGAAAAACTGCCAGATAAAACCCCAGGATCACTTTCTTGTCAAGTAGATACTCCTGGAATGACAGAATCATGTGTGACTTCTTATACTGAGAAGCCAGAAACTTTTAATGAACACCTTGATGCATTTCCTACCAATGATTTTGAGGATGATTGGGAAAACTTACTAAATAATGAACCTTTTGTTATGCAGAATATCAAAATGTGTGAACTTCTCCCTGCTCCTAAAACAGCCCAGATTGCTGATCAAAAGAGAACTTGTAACTTTAACAATAAAAATGATAAACATAAGTCAAGAATGAATACAAGCCTAGATGCCAGGTTAAAGGATTCAAAAATTGTACAAGACCTCCCTTCAAAGACCCATAACAGGGAATTAATAGATTCTGGAAAATATAGATTTTCACTAAATCCAAATGATGAACCAAACACATTACCATCCACCGGATATATAATGAAACTTGATAAATCTTTCAAGAAAATTGTTCAAGACTGTTCAGCTCCATCTAATCTGACAAAAGTAAAAGAAGATATGCATACTAAATTTACTTCTAATGTAAATACTTTTGAAAAGTCTACTTTGAACACAGGATATTCTAAAGAACAAGAAAATAAGTCTATTTTTAATCAGTCTTTTAAAGCACCTGCTAATATAAATCCTTTTGGCTTTGCAACTTTGGGGAATGAAACCAGTGTTTATAATCCAAATCAGACTAATGCATCAAAGTTAGGTTCTTTCTTTGATGATTGGAATGATCCATCATTTGCCAATGAAATTGTTAAAGCATGCCATCAATTAGAGAATACCTGGGAAGCAGATGATGTAGATGATGATTTATTATACAAAGCATGTGATGATATTGAAAGACTAACTCAGCAACAAGACATTAGAAAGGATAGCAAAATATCAGAAAGTACACTTGAGATCAATAATAGTTCCAAACATGGAGCCAAAAACATATTTACTGCATCTAAACAAGAAAGTCAGTTGGTACAATCGAAGGACTTGAATCTGAGCAGCATTTCAGGGCACACATCTTTCACAAATCGCCCACAGTTAAATAAACCAGTAAAGATGGATAAAGGGGAAATCTGTGGAAACTCTCCAACTCTTTTAGGTGCTACAACAAATTTGACAATATATCCTAAGAACTCAAATTGTCATATCAATAATCTGCATTTCTCCTGGAATAACACTGATGTTCCAATACAAGTGAAAAGTCCACAATCAGTTCTTATGGGAAGTTCAGGTTTGAATGTGAGTTCGGATTATAGGAATACAGAAACTGCTACTTACAAGAAGAAATTAAGTACTCCACATCTATCCCATAGTAGTACAACAGATGGAGGAGGTCAGAGTGGCCTTGATGGAGCAGTTAGATTTCCTAAGTATACATTTACAAAGATGAAAAATTCTCATGTTCTTTCCCAGTTTAATCGAAACTGTATACCAGGAAATATTTCTGATATCAAAATTACACAGGGTTTGGAGAAAAATAAAACTGTCAACCCATTTTGTGGGAAGGCTATTCAACAACAGTGTTCGGTGAAACATTCTGAATCTTCGAAACAACCTTCAAAAGGTATGTATAATGTCATTTTCTTTGAAAATTGTCACCTGGGGAAGTAGCTAAATTAGTTATTTGTCGTATTGAATTTGTGTAACATGTAAGATTAAAAAGTATGATATTTAACTAGAATTCCTAAAGTGACTCTTATGAATAATTATGCTGTAATATGCAAAGAGGGCTGATTTAGGTTTTCAAAAGACTGCATCAGATTCTTTCCCAGCTTTAAATTCAGTGACTAGCATATAGTTAGGTACTCAATAAATATTTGTTGAATGTTTTCTGAATTATTTACTGGAAAATTGTACTTTTAGATCTATGTATTCCCAAGAGATTGTTTTTAGTAAATATCTCATTGTTTTAAAACTTGAGTAATTTTACTCCTGTGTTTAGCAAAACATTGAGGTGAACAATATTTGAAAATTCAGAGCATTCTAATTAAACACATTTGCTATGGTGATGATTAGAATTGCAATTTACTTAACTCAGTACAGCCAGTCATCTTTGAGTCTTATGATTCCTCTCCGACAATTCTGTCAAGTTCCATTGTTTCTGCCTCAAAACAATACATCTTAAAATTGTCCGTTTTTCTCACTCTTAACCTCTACTACCCTAATCCAAGCTAGCATTTCTTGACTAGACTACTGTAGTTCTTTTTTATGTCTCTTTCCAATTCTAGTCTCCAAACAGTAGAATTATCTTTTAAAAACAAATAGGCAAACATGGCATTCTTGTGCTTAGCCACAACCTTCAGTGATGGCCATCATCTTTCAAATTTACATTGATCTACAAGGCCCTGGATTATCATGTTCTTAGCCTGCTTGCCTTCTTATTTACCTTACCTACTAAGTAAGCTTCAACTACATTAGCTATCTTTCAGTTCTCAAACAGCATAGTTTCTTTCCTAGTTCAGGAGATCTGACTGTGCTATTCCCAACTAAAAACTATTTCTTCCTGACATTTGACCCCCCAGTCCATTTTTTGGTTGGTGCTTTTTTATCCTTAGGTCTTAGTTTAAGTATGACCTTCTCACAGAGACCTTCCTTGAACAATCTTTTCCTTGTCATTTTCCATCATCTCTCCTATTTCATTTCTTTTATCACAGTTTGCAATTAAGTATTGATTATTGTCTGTCTTATCTATGAATACCTAGACCTACCACAGCATCTGCCACATAGAAGATGTTTAGTAAGTATATGAATGAATATGCAATATTATGTGAAAATCTTTTATTCACTGATACTGTAATCTTTTTTAAAAAGCACTGTATCTGGCATAACTACTTGTACTTCTTAATGTTCAGTTCTTTCTCACAGCCTTAATATTTTTCAGATCCTATTTCCTTCACCAGAAACATAGCCCCCACATGCATATACCAAATCTGCCTGGCCATTTTCCATTTGTCCTTTAAAATACAGTATGTTTTTATTCGCCCCAATAATTTAGGTTCACATTCTCTGGGTTTCTCCAATACCCAGTTTTAACTTCTCTTCTAGCATTTAGTATGCTAGCTTGTAAGTATAGATTTTTTTTAATCAGTCTCCCTCACTTGGGGCTAACATTAGGATTTTTAACTATTATGTAGATCAATGCTAATAAGGTGAGGGAGATTTTATCTTCTTTTAACATTACATCATTGTTTTCTGTTTAGATTCTAGATGGTGTTTTTGTTGGCATTACTGCTACAATTTTCCTATTTAAGTGTTCCCTCCTTTTTTTTTTTTTTTTTTAACTTGTAACAGTAATATGCTGGTTGTTTAAGAAGAAAACAGAATAAGTTAATTTGAAATGAAAAATTAAGTTCTTAATTTCTCTTTTGGTACAGCCATTCCTCAGGGAAACCAGTTAACAATTTAGAATACATCATGTAGCATTTTTGTGCATAAAAATGTCCTTGTGTGTGGTGGTGTGTGTGTGTGTCTGCCTCCACATTTATCAGATGGAATTATATGCTGTGTACCAGTATTTGGCAACTTGGTTTTGCCTTCACTTAATACAGCTATTTTTCTGTTTTACGTATAGATTTCCTTCAGTCCTTTTAATGACTACATAGTATGTCATTAATATGGATGTACCATGATTTATTTAACTGACTGTCTATTGACAGGAAGTTAGTTCAGTTAGGTTGCATTTTTTACATTACAAACAATCCCCCAGTGAATATACTTCTACATAAATTTCTGCATGCTCCTGTGATTGTTATCTGTTAATTACTGATAACTTGATGTAAGAATGTTTTGAAGTTTGGTGGGTATCACCAAATCTTCCCAAAACGTTTCATCAGTTTATATTCTTATCAACACTGACAATGACTATTTCTCTATATTATAGTCTAGATATTTTGAAACTTTAAAAATTGTTAATCTATAATGATTTTTATTTAAATAATTTAACTTTATATTTTAAAAAGTGTAATTAACTGGACCAAATTCTCAACATGAAATTATTTACATATAGTTATAATTATATTAAAGGTTACTAAAGATCTCTCTGGAATATTGGAGTTTTTCCAAAACTACTATCTACTATCCTATCTGCCTTTTTTATAGGTAGATAATCTGTCTTTCAGTTAATCTTATCAATTTTTAAGTTTACTGATAGTATCTAATCTTCTAATTAACATTAATCTTCCTGATATTTTCTGTTGTTTCCACTTTCTTTTACTTTGTTTCCTAGCAAGCTGCTTTCTAGAGAACATCTTTGAGACAAAACTCATTTAACTACTTCATTGTTTTACGGCAGGGTTTGGTAATCCATGGCCCATCCACATCCAGCCCAGAGCCTGTTTCTGTACAGTCTGCAGGCTAAGATGGTTTTCACATTTTAAGAAGTTGAAAAAAATCAAGAGAAAAGTAATACTTCATGACTTCTGAAAATTAGAATTCAAATTTCACTGTCCATAAACAAAGTTTTATTTGAACACAGTCACATTTATATTGTCTGTGGCTGTTTTCATGCTACTATAACAGAGCTGAAGAATTGCAACAAGAGACCATATGACCTTCAGAGGTTGATATATTAACTTTCTGGTCCTTTACAGATTTTTTTTCTGATTTCTGCTTCAGAATAAAGAAGAAGAGCCACTCTTGGGGCAGCTGGGTGGCTCAGTCAGTTGAGCATCAGACTTAGGCTCAGGTCATGATCTCACGGTTCATGAGTTCAAGCTTTGAATCTGCTTCTGTTCTGACAGCTTGGAGCCTGGAGCCTGTTTCAGAATCTGTGTCTCCCTTTCTGCCCTTCCTCCGTTCACGCTTTCTCTCTCTCAAAAATAATAAACATTAGAAAAAAAACACTCTTGCTTTATGCCTTGAAATAGTTTGCCATGTATTTTATTGCAGAATGAGTTAAAGGAAGGACTGGTGATAGAAAAGGATGGCTCTCTCTAAATCAAATTTTCATGGTGTGACTATATCATTAGAAATAATTTTTCCAAGAATTTCACCAAGTCAATTGTAAAACCAGTTTTTGGGAGCTATGTTCTTTTCTGCTGTCATGGATTATTAAGTTGTTTTCCTTACAAACTTATGGTCAGTTGAATGCAACTGTATGTGTGTATTCTGAATTTATTCTGTTTCTCAGCTTTGAGACTAAAATATTAAATGATTAGTCAAGCTAATTATAAAGTTTGTTGTAGCATCTTTCTATAAGGAAAAATAACTACAAATATGTGAGATAGTTTAGGAAATAAGGCATCAGAGTCATGTAGGGAGTGTATCTGAAATATTTATCTCTTACCCTGAATACCCTCTCCCATTTCCAATTATACCAAGAAAGGAAGGGGAGACAGAAAATGTATTTGGGACAAATAATCCCCCTTAGCTAATAAAAGAAATGTCTTATAACAAATTCTGTACCTTTGTCTAGATGTTAGTGTAAATATTTCTCTGCCAATAGCACCACAGATTCTTATTCTCGGAGAGACAAGATTTTACAACATAAACAGTTTTACCAACACAAGGTCACTTAAATATGATAGTCTTAATTTTAAAACATCATTTAAATGAGAAAATATGTTTGCTAAATTTAAAGCTTGATTCTTATTAGTATTATATAGATAATCTAATATTTTAGCTCAAAGTGACTTAACTCTGGAATTAAATTCATTTTATTAGAACCCAGTATTTTGGCAGAGGTAGAATTGGATGTTACTGAAATCAGACTTAATTATTTTCATTTCCTTAATTTAAAACACGTTGTTTATTTTATAGTATATTTACCTAAACTCTATACTAAAATATGCTGCATAGGAATGTCAGAATGCTTCATATTTCTATATATTTAAAAGACATTCAAACTGAAGATTTCATTCAGATATTATACTCTTTGAAATAATCTTTTAAAAATTTTTAAATATTTATTAGAAAGAGAGAGTGAGCATGACTGGGGGGAGGAGCAGACAGACAAAGGGGAGAAAAGGGATCAGAAGCCAGCTCTGTGCTGATAGCAGAGAGCCCAATGCGGGACTCACACTCACAAACTGAACCATGAGATCATGACCTGAGCCAAAGTTAGACACTCAACTGACTAAGACACCCAGGCATCCCTGAAATAATTTTCTAATGTTTATATAGAATGTGTCCTCCAAATAAAAACATCTGAGAATGAATTATATATTTATTGATATGATAGATTTCACTGGATCACTCTAAAACATTTTTCCTGACTGGCTAAAAATGAAAATCTGAGCTCTCTAGAGGGAAAAAAGTTAGCATGGATATTGATAGTAGCTTACAGTAAATGTATACTATTTGAGGTATTGATATCTAAATTCATTATATTTTGACTACCTTTCTGTTGAAGTTTATATAATATTTAAAATCCCAGTTTTTGGGGGTACCGTGGTGGCTCAGTAGGTTAAACATTGCACTTCAGCTCAGGTCATGATCTCATGGTTCTTAAGTTTGAGTCCTGTATAGGCTCTGTGCTGACAGCTCAGAGTTGGAGCCTGCTTCAGATTCTGTGTCTCCCTCTCTCTGCCCCTCCCCTTCTTACACTCTGTCTTTCTCTCTCTCAAAAATCAAACATGAAGAAACTAAAAAGTTAAAGTAAAATCCCAGTTTTTAAAAAATACTCATTTGTCAATTATGTAAGTTAGACTTTATCATTTGTAAGAATTATGTGCTGGGAAGTCAAAATGTACTTTTTTTTTTTTTTTTTTTTTACAAATAGTTTATTGTCAAATTAGTTTCCACATAACACTCAGTGCTCATCCCCCCAAGTGCCCTCCTCCATGCCCATCCCTCCTCCCCCCCACATCTATCAGTCCTCAGTTTAATCAAATGAATTTTATCACACTGAAAGATGTATAAAATAGGAACTGATTGATTAGTGCTTGATTTTCTTTTGGCCTAGAGCACTATATCTGTACATGGAATATCATATTTAGTAGTTCACTGTGATTTAATAGTTATACCAATGTGGCAAGTCTGGATAACAAAAGGGTAAAAAATTAAAACTCATGTTCAGGATGATTTCATAGTCTCTAAAAGTAATATTTATATTTTGTTTAATTTTTAGAGGAAGAAGAGAAAAATAAAAAGTATTCTCCTGAAGAAATTCAAAGAAAAAGACAAGAAGCACTGGTTCGAAGAATGGCCAAAGCACAGGCATCATCTGTAAAGGCAGCTCCTACTTAACTTGATTTCTTTTAAGAAATATTATTTGGAAGACTTAACAAAGACAGTTAATAACTATCTATGATAGGAAATATTCTTTCTTGATTTCTCTGTGAGAAATTTAATGCTGAGCTATAAAGCATGGACTTCTACTTTATTTAATAAATCAGTGTTTGCAATGGTTAATGAAACTTTTCCTTAGAGAGGTATGTGAAAGGAATTGCATATAAGTTTTTAGAAATTCAGGAAAGTTAGCAATTATGGTATAAAATTATGCAGAGTAAAGGAGGTTTTTTTTTTTTTTTTTCAGATATCGTGAATCATCTAAAAATAGGTAGTCTGCTAATTTTTTTATTACAATAACTTCCTAATACAAAGCTTCAGCTTACTAAGTAAATGAGACTTTTTTTTTAATGTTTATTTTTGAGAGACAGAGTGCGGGCAGGAGAGGGTCAGAGAGAGAGGTAGACACAGTCTGAAGCAGGCTCCAGGCTCTGAGCTGTCAGCATGGAGCCTAACGTGGGGCTTGAACTCATGAATCGCAAGATCATGACCTGAGCCAAAGTCGAATGCTTCACCAACTGAGCAACCCAGGTTCCCCAAGAGTTTTTTTAAATAGTTTTACTTTCAATAACTATTTCTTAAAGTTTTTATATATTTCTGAATCTTAAAAATACTTCCATTTTTTGGAATGTGGTTGGTGGGAAATAAGGACTTCAATTTATTTGTAAGGAAATTGCTATTTTCAATTCCTAGTCTGAAATAGATTTTAATTTTCTAAAACATGATGCATTTTGTAAAGTTTCTACTAATTTCAGGGAAAATGCTGATTTAATAAGTTTTGAAAAAAGAAAGTAGACTGGCTATCTAAGTAATATAGCATTATTAACACTTAGAACTGTCAGAAACTTCAGATGTCATCTGGCCTACCTTCTTTATTATATGGGTGAGAAATGAATACTGTTCTGAAAGGAACAAGGCAAGTTAAAGCTGTTCTGTGATGAGAAGGATTGCTCTCATTCTAATAAACACCTAGACAATTATGCCAATTGCTTCAGAGTATTAATTAGTATTTAAAATAACTTGTCTGTAGGAGCATTAATTATTTCATAGTATAAAACAAAAAAAAAATAGTAACTAAAAGTACATTAAGGACAGTTTAATAATAATGCTCATTGTTTCTTGTTTTAAAGAATTCATCATTCCAAGATACAAAAAATGAGAATCTTTCTCTTTTCAGTTTTCCTACAACTATTTAATTTTCCATTGATTACATTTTCTGACTTACTAATTTGTTTTTCTCTGTTACTCTATTTTTTCTATTTGCCTGTATAAAAGTCACTAAACTAGAATTAAAAATCTAAGCAGAGGTCATAAGGGCAGTAAGAATGCTTTGTGTATCCTAAATGGCTTTAGGAGACCTGATGAAAGTTACAGATGTGAAATGCTTATTAGTGTGTTCACCACTATTCTGGTGTCTTAGAGCTATATAGTATCAAAAATAATTAAATGGATTTCAGGGTATTGCTATATAGATATATATCACTTCGAAAACTGTATATTCATGTATATAGTGGAGTAACATATCCTAGGTAACCTTTCTTATTTGTCTAAAAATGTATAATAAAGACTCTAAACATAGGTAAATTTTCTATGTAAGAAAATGACAAACTGAGATTCTTTATTTTTTTCTAAAGTGGCTTCACTGTGTTCTTACTATGCTTTGGATATCTCTTCCTTTGCTTACGCTCTTCCCTTCCTGCCACTTACTTCCTCTATAACCTGTGCCTTTAGCGTATTCTGTCCCTCTTTTAAGACTCACCCTAATAAGTCTCAGTTTCTTTGAAACTCATACCTGACCATTCTCACTGAAATTGATTTCTTTCTGATGATGGTGGTAACACTTCTTAGATGTTTCATGGGACAATCCTGTCATGCCACATATGTTATTCAGGTGTATATGTGCTCTGGAAATATTTTTACAACTTATTTTGCATTTTTTTTGTAGTTTTGCCATATTTTCACACAGCCTATATTGCCATTTACTGAATAATTTTCTTCAAGGGATGCCTTTTCACTTTAAAAGGAAACTTGACAGTACTTATGGCTGGTAGGTAAAATAGTAAGTGGCCCAGCACATTTCAACCTGAACATGATTGGTTTTCCAGGATTACTCTTGCTGTTCAAATTCTCCTTTGCTATCCTGATTCTTCTCTTAGCTGTTGTTGGAAATAGTACGGGTTAGTGGCCCTTTGGTGAGCACACAGAGGGCTGCGTAGTTCCTCTGGCTTGGCACTTTCCAATCTCTAGGAAATTTGTTTCCACACAGAGAAGGGGCAATTGGTAGGCCTGGCAGCTCTGTTCCAGCTCAAGATTGGCTCGGGCTGGCTATGGAAAAACTGACAATGATAATGCTATTATTGCAGGAAAGTCTACTGTAGAATAAAGCTCATCTATCCCTACTCTTTCTTGCTGCAGACAGGCAAACCTGATCCCAGGAAGACTTGGATTGCTTATTATGCAGAGTCAGTGGTATGCAGGCATGTACCTCACCTTGGGAAACAGTCCTTATATCCTTCTCTGTTATTACTAACTTTTACATTCCTGAGAACACAGGCACCTTCCACCTCTCTGTCTACCCAATACTGATATTCAGTGGTTACTTATTAAATATTTTATGAATTTAGATATATACTGATGGCAGATTCTGCCTCCTCCTACTTGAAGCAATCTGATTCCCTGAGCTATTCAGGATTAGAAAATGTTTCAAGGAACAATTTAAATTTAGCCTAACACTGACTAGTGTAAGTAATAATTTAAAGTCTGATTATGATTTTCATTTCTTGCCAGGATGTGGTGATCAGAATCACTTGTGGGACTCAAAAACAAAACAAACTTGTGTTGTTGTGCCTTCTCTTAAACTTCATAAATGAGTACATCGAGGGGTAGATTTCAGATATGTGTGCATTTAAAAGTTCACTGGCTAATCGCCAACAGGGTTGAAAAGAAACCATAATTGCAAAATTTATATGTTGCTAAATGTTTTATTTACCATGAATGCATGGTTTTAAGAAATTTACCTTAACTTCTTAAAACTTTTATTACCATTTTATAAAAAAGAAAACTGAAGTATGCATATTAAGTGAGTTCCTCAAGGTCACACAGTTAGAAAGTAGTTGGAGCTAGAGTTTGCATCCAGGCAGTCTGATAGCAAATACTGTGATCTTAACTATTGAGCATACTGTCATTCATGGGAACTATTCATAAATATCATTTGTCTATGGAAATTATATATACAAGAAAGAATTGTAACATTTCAGGCACATGTGCCAAAAACTCACAGGAATTCTGTAGCTTAATTGTATATAGCTCAGGAGAGATATTTTCCAGTCCCAGTTGCCGTTAGAAATGACTCCTATACTTTTATGTGTTTGTGAGCATGTGGGTAGGTATTGATTATATGAATCCACATGATTACCTTTTTCATTCAACCACTACACAAAAGAATAGAGAAATATATAAAATGTATAGCTATTTAAAATGTCTTCATTTTACTTCACTAGTAACTCTGGGTGTTCTGGTTTTAAATCTATTGGGGAAAGCTTAATTGCCTAGTCTAAGATGAAATAACATAACCTCAAGCTGCTAGTAAAACTCTGATCCAGGTAATACATTTAAGGTTTCTGGTTAGATTCACATGATATAGAAGAGTGGTATTCTGCATTTAATTTGTTACAATATGTTGTTAAGCCAACTCACATAGATTGTAGCTAAGAAAAGGAAAATTTAATAGTGTTTTCAGATAATTCTAGATATTCTCCAATACTACACATAAACTCAACAAATGGTCATTTCTTAAAAGATATAACTTCTGTTTCCAGTCAAGATGGAATAATGAGGACTGCATGTACCCTTTTTGCTGAAAGAACGAAATAAGCAAACTACATTGAAAAGTGGATTTCAAGACTGGACCTCAGACAATGAGGAAAATAATCCCTGAGGAAGAAGAAACAAACAAATGGAGCCCTGTGATTTTCCCAGCTTACTGCCTTGAGGGAGTTTCCAGGCCATGATGCAAGGAAGCAGAACTGAGGAAGAGCCCAGTAGACTTCCTGAGTGAAAAAGTGGAGCTGAAAGTCTAGGGAAACCAAAATAACTTGAGTTCACAGGATAGAGTACCAGTAAGAAGAGAAGACTGAACGCCAGAGATCTGTAGAAGATCCCCGGTCAGAATTAAACTCAGTACTGATTAGCACATACATGTGAGGAAACGGAGGCTGGAGAAAGACATTTGAAAGCATTAGAGGGAACAAACATTGTCCAGTGCTCACAAGGGTCTAGTAACAATGCCAGTTCTCACCAACCACAAGTCACTGGGTAGTAATTTGCCTGAATAGTAGGGAATGCTTAGCTCTAGGTTGTACTACTCTGCCCCCCCCCCCCCCACAAATCATAAAAGCAAGGTCAAAAAGGATCAAACCATTCTCAACAACTGCATCCTAGAACAAAGCTCAAAAATAGTTATAAAAAAATGCCCAGCACCTATGAGATAAAATTCATGATGGCTGCCGTCTAATTAAAGATTGCTAGCAAAAATACAACCTGATAAATTGAAACAAACTGGGATGTGTTGTTGATGTTAGAATTAACAGATACATTAAAACAGCCATTATTACATGCGTTCAAAATGCTAAATAGAAACATGGAGGATATTAAGACCAAACTCAAACTTTTAGAGATGAAAGCTACAATGTCTGAGGTGAAAATAACAGTAGATATGATTAATGGCAACTTAGACATTGCAGATTAGTGACTAGAAAACATGACATAACAATAGGAATTACTTAAAATGAGAAAATTAACAGTGAGTTGTAGAACAATTTCAAGTAGCTTAGTGTATGATTAGTCTCCGAAAGAGGAAGGCAGAGAGGAGAGTATACAAGACAAATAATGACCTAACAATTTCCAGACTTTTATGAGAACTATTAACCCACAAATACAAGAAATTCAGTGAACTCAAAGCATAATATGAAGAAACTACCAAGCCACATCATAACCAGTTGATAAAATCATAAAAGCAATAAAGATAAGAACAAAGGAAGAAAGATGAATATAACATCAGAATTCTTATCAGAAACAATCTGAAAAGACAATGGAGAAACATCTCTAAAACACTAAAAGGAAAAAAACCTATCTGCCTAGAATTCTATACCCTGCAAAATGTCTTTCGTAGGCAAAGATGAGATAAAGTTGTCTTCAGACCTAGCAAAGCTGAAAGAATTAATTCATCACTGGCACTACAAGAAATATTAAAGGATGTCTTTCAAGCAGACAGAAGATGATAAAAATGAAAATGTGGGCTTACACAAAGATAATGATGAACACTGGAAATGATAAACATATGGGTTAATGTATGAAATTTTAAAAATTATTTAAATATTTTATAAGATAATTGACTACCTATACAAAAATA